CCCGACGATACATAAGTGTGTTTGGGGTTGCAGTTTGGGCACTCGGTCTCTAAAAGGTTCGCCATCACTGCCCTATGCCATGGTGACTATTTTAGTTCCTTATTTGAACCTTATTATATATTGTTTTAAATAGAGAGCTATTGGGGAGATGAACTATTCCAATCAATTTACTCAATACTTAATAACAGCATTTTATATTATGTATAGTAAAAAATATTTATAATATATTGTATTTCATTTCATGTTGTCTGAGTAACAGATAATCTATATAGATATAATCTATAATAATAATCTATTATAGATACTATTATCTATACATATCTGCAAAAACTACGGCTTTTGAAGCTATCGATATATATTTCCCACCAATCTGCCAATTAATACAAGTAAATGACAATTAAGAAACTAACTACAAGTTCCCTGCTGATCTAGTCCCATACTCCCAGCTGAATATTTCGAAGGTAAAACTTAAATTGTTGATTGTTTCTGATAATTGCAGTAGGAAACAACGGATCTGGAGATAGGTTATCGGTGGGCGGGGGGGGGGGAGACCCTTGTTACTTTGATATTGTTTTCTGCTGAAAATAGTGATCCTGACCTGAATCAGTAGCCTTCTTTCACCTTAATACTGGGAGGGGAATTCTGCCTAAGCTCCTTGGTTCCCATAACAGAAATAATCTATAATCATGGGAGAACATTTACAGCTTCCCTTTATCTCCCACTTCATTTAATATTCATTGGGAAGAAGGAAAATGCAAGAAGATGGGTATGACAGGATGATGATGTATTTGTATCTATCTCTACGTATGTATGTAGGTAAAATGTAAGAGAGGCTTGTATTAATTCACAAAGAATTGTTCCATACTGGTTCACTACAAGAAAGGTTTAGAATGGATATTATGGGCCTAGCTAGGAAATACGTATTTTACTTTACTTTTAATTAAATAGTGATGGGCAGACTTAATTTGACCCAACACCATAAGGGAAAAGATACACAAATTATATTCCTTGGCGAACCTATTTTCCTATAACAAAAGCCCTATGACTCAGGTTGTGACCAAAGAGTGAGGTAGATTAGAATCTGAGTTAACCCACTTTTTAGACCAGCAACTTAACCATTAGATCACACTGGCTATTCTAACTATCCTTCCAATTATCTTTCTCCTTGAAATGCAAAAAAATAAAATAAAAATGAATCTGCTATTTTCTTCCTAGTTGAAAACAAAACAGGTTTTCAAAATCTAACTCTGAGATGTTCTGTTCAAATTCAGAATTCTTAATGTTTTCATTAAAATAAAAAGCAACAAGTTTCTAGACATTCACACATCTCCCATGTCCTAGTTAATTTGGTATTAGTTTTCTATCCAACCTGATGCTATACAATAAGAGATTTTCCATCAAAATAAAACTAGTATGGCGTATTTTATAAGTTTATATGAAATACAATATACATACTCTTAATTTTCCATCATCTTGTTGTGCATATTTCTGGATTGTAAGTGCATCATTATCTTTATGAGCAGATTCTTCCAACCAAGCCTCTAAAGCTTGTTGGTCCCAGTTCATTTGAGACCTTAAGGCGTCCAGTTTCTGACTCAGCTTGAAAACATTATTCTAATATTGATGGTGAAAAGAAATAAATATATAAGATGAAGGGAATATTCATATTGTTATTAAATCAATAAGCGTGTTATTATTACACTGTAACAAATTTATGTCTGGTATCTGGTAAAAAAAACCCTTCAGTTTAAACAATGGCAGAATTAAATGTGTATCTGACAGTTCTCTATTTGTCACCAAGTAATTCAAAAACTTAGTTAACTTAATCTGAACAGAGCCACATTTACATGTCATACAAATAATTAATTTTGATTTATTAAATATGGACAATTTATTTTGTGTGTGTGAACAATTTATTTTTCAGTATTTAACTCTGATGTTAAACAAAATGAAAGGCATACAAAACAACATGTAAAGTACTTAAAATGCAACACCTTCTATCTGGAAACATTGTTTTGTTCTGGGTATCCTGAACTTGTCATTCCAGTAGTGATCCAGAAGTTATTCCAAAATTGCACACTACAATTGACATGATCTGGAATATTCCAAGGTTTTCTAGAATTTCTAAAACTTCCAACCTTATTTTATTCTTATAAAATGGATTAAATACTGATACAAAGAAGGATTTCTATAGATTAAGACAATCAGATATAACTGAGGTAATTTTCCTGAGGAAAAACTTAGGATTGGGAAAGCAATAAGAAAAAAATACTTAAATCCAGCTTTCCCAGACTGGAACTTTCAGACTACAAACCCCATGATTCTCCACTAGGTGGGGATATGTAGTCCACTTAAGAGACATCCCGCTGGGATGTCCAATTATTTTTCTTTCCTATAAGGTTTCCTGCCTGAGCAGGGGGTTGGACTAGATGACCTTCAAGGTCCCTTCCAACTTTACTATTATTATTATTATTATTATTATTATTATTATTATTATTATTATTATTATTATTATTATTATTATATGTATGTATGTATATGTATATAATGTATGTGTATGTATATCATTTTATCACAATATATTTATATATGCTGCAGTGTGTGTGTGTGCACGCACGCACGCACACACACACACACACACACATACTGTCTATAACTCCATGATATAAAATATATTTTGTACTAGCTTCCAAACTCAATTCCTGTATCTCCAATTAAAAAAGAACAGATAACATACAGATAATTAAAATAAGACCAATCAACTGCTAGACCAAGAGAAAATTATGAATAAGTTTTCCATCTTCTATTGAAACAGAGGAGCACGTTGTTAAATATTTGCATCACTGGAATAACTGCTCCCAAAACCACTTAAAAATGCACTGTTGTATTGTTTTCTTTGCAGCAACACAGCTGAAGAATAAGAATTGAAAAAAAAATAGTGTTTGACAAGATATTTTTCAGATGCATAATGAAATATTTGAAACGTACTTCCTGACTATTTTTCTTCTCTCTTAGTGAAACCACATCATTTTCCAGCTTTTGAATCTCAGTCTTCAGGCGGCCCACTTCTCTCTCTGCAACAGCTTTAAAATGTTGCTCAGTTTCTATTTCATTCTGCCTGGCTCTGAAAAGAGACTTAAAAAACAAGGTTATTCATTACTTTGCCAGTTTAGTGAGCAATTATAATCTATAAAGTACTTTTAAAGTTTCATTCTCTTGTTTAGGTATTAGAAATTTAAGAAGAATGTAAAAATCAAAACAAAATACTCAAAGAATGTTGTTGTATAATTGTAATAAGCCCATTAATTGGTATTTATATAAAGATATGAATCTTTTATAAGAACAGATAAACACTGACTCTCTCAGATCAGTTTTCAATCCTTGGCACACAAAAAATTGAGATGCAATTTTCAATCCATTGTTGTAGTTTTGTGTAGCCCAGAACGGGAGAAAAATAGGATTAATTATATTTATATAACTTTACAGCCAAGAAGCATGACTCAAGTGAACATTTTAATGGTTTTAATGGATTTATGAATTAGCAGGTATTTATGTGTTCTTTCCATCTGCATATAGAAATGAAAAATTTTAATTTGCATAGTTTTAATATTTTAATTGTTTTACTATTTATCTTTTTACAATCTGTAAGCCACCCAGAGTCATCTTATAGGGAAGTTGGGCAGCATATAAATTTAACAAATAAACAAACATATTACCAGATAACAACATTCCTTTCCCATACAAATTCATGAAGGTGTTATCTATCTAGAACTAACATAATAAATCCAATATGCAACTAAGTTCCTTTTTGTTTTATGGGCTATCATCTTATAAATATTTAAAATTTATATACTATATACTATTATTTTGCCTCTGATTATATAAAATGTTCATAAACTTTACTGGTAAATAATATGAAGCAGAAATGAATCTACAGATTTTATAAATACAACTAAGGGAATATTTTTCCAGTATTTAAATATAAATGCAAAATAAAGACACAACAAGTGCCTTATATAAAGGGGGGGGAGTATAACTCCTATTGATTTGGGGTAGTGAAACTCCATGCTAAGTGTTGTTTTAAAAGGGCTAAGTCACTATCACTATGTGACTAATTTCAAATTGTTATGCATAGTATTACAGCTTCATACACCAAGTTAGCATGTTTGCTTTGAATCATATTGCATGTACTAAAATTATCATGTAGTAATTCTGCTTAGAACTGCTCATTAAGTTGTGCAATGCAATAAACTTACTGAAATTAAAAGATCTATGTCTGGTCAATACTTGGGTGAGAAATTGCTTCAGACTTTTATGTATGTTGCCAAATTCCATGACAGAGAAAAGTTGGATCAATGAATAATACTTATAGCAAAAATCTTAGGCTTACAATAGAATGAATGCATATAAAATTGTGCTTTATAATGCAGGTGATCAAAGTCTACAACCACTTACTTGTGTCAAATCAAACTCCTGTTTGACATTTTTCAAGTGTGAGGACATTGCTGTAACACGGTCTTCATAGTCGGACAACTGACTTTGCAAATTTGCCTTTTCTTTTTGCAACTTTTGCAACTGTAAAGCAAAAATCAATATATTTAATGTTTTAAAATATCAGAAAATGGAAGCACACAACAATATGACTATGGTGGAATGGAAATATTCTTGTTTTGCAAAGATAAGCCTCTGCAGAGATTATTTGGAAGAAATTTAATATTTTTCCCACACTTTATGCTTTAAAAAAAATAATTCTCAACCAAATGCAAACAATTCAAATGGGAATTTAACAACATTAATAAAACATATTCCTACATTGTGTAAAAATGTAAGATAAAATGATAAAATGTATAAACCACTGTAAAACTAATAGTAAAAATTTAAAAATATCACAATAGAATTAAATCATTAAAAGATCTGAAGAAAATACCTGTAAAATGCCTATAAGTGGGACAATAAAGACAGCATCAAGTGTATCTCCGTTAGAATGAAGTTCCTAAGTCAAAGGGCTGCCACTGAAAAAACTGGGAAATCTAAATCTGCACCATAAGCAGTCATTTTATTTAGACATACACCCCATGGTATTCACTATCCCATTATATTGGGCTATATACACCTATACAGTAGATATATACCCAGATAGTTCAAGAATGTGCCCTCAGGAAAGGCACCTGGAATGATCTCATCGCAATCACACCAGAAGCAGTTAAATTGTTAGCTTCTTTAGATATCGAATTATAACATCTATCCCATTGCTTCCCATGGCTTCATATTATGGTGATTTTATTATGGTTTTATCTTCATTTAATATGTTATCTCTTATATTGTACTGTCATTATATATTATTATATTATATTAATTATATAATATTCACACACACACACACACACACACATATATACAGTATATAACTTTATTTAAACCAAATTTGTTTATCAGTGATTGTATAACCTCTGTAGATGCCATATGCTAAATAAATAAAAATAACCCAGACAGGTTTACATCCTATATGCACAGATGCATAGAATTAAACAAAATGGACCATGTTCTGAATCAGTACACTGAGTCCCAGTAGTTTCGATGTCAAACCAGGGAAAAATCTGCTTTGCCACTTGAGTCTGGATTAGTGAACTGGAAAGTGAGGGAGTCTTCCATCATCAGTCCTATCAAGATGAGGCAGAATCAGAGCTGGGCAGCACATACATTTAAATTATTATTATTATTATTATTATTATTATTATTATTATTATTATTATTATTATTATTATTATTATTATTATTATTATT